AATAAAATATATATTTGTAGGGAATGTATGCCATTAATATATTTATTTGAGATTATTATGACATGTGGACAAGAGTATGTATTTACAAGATCATCTCCTGTTTCTCAAAAGAACTGGTCTTTCCTGTTAGTGCCTTCACTAGTATGCTAAATCCAAATGTTTTTTTTTTTTTTAGTCCGTGGAGGTGCGAAAAAATGAAAAACCCATAAGTGAACAAAAAACGTGCAAGTGCAAAACACAAACACAAAAAAGTGCACTTAGGGGCGTGCTTTAGTCCTTCCCCCGAAGGCAAGGCTCCGGACAGGGACTGAGGTTTCCACATGGTCCACCTGGCCACAAGGCCTGGCGGACCCCATACCTTGTGGCTAGCCGAAGCCGACCACCAAGTACTAGGTCAGGGGGCTCTCCCGAAAAGAGACCCCCCCAGGAACAGGGGAGGGAGAAACCAAAAGGCCACACATCCTCCCCCTAGACTTCAGGGTAGGCCCAAGGACCCACCCCCTACCGTCCGTGAGAAAAAAAAAACACACACATAAGTGAAAGGTGACAAAAACGTGGGTGAATAATAAATAAATTAAAAAGTGGCCATGCAATTTTGCACTGAGGCCTGTAGCATAAAAATTGCATAGCCCTAAAAGGCATAGTGCAGAAGTAGTGTTTTAGAACAGTGACCATGTGCACTTTTCACATGTGGGATCCCACCCACATGTGCTACTAAGAGCACCTCTGAGGTGACCACTCAGGGGGCACTGATCCACGGACTCTCTGCCTCCCCGGGCCTTGGCAAGACAAGGTAGATCCATTCGAATCAGGAGGAACTGGGCCCCTCTGGTTTTCCCGGGGAAATTACTCCCAGGTCCCAACTGCCTGTGGGCGCCTTGGTTTCTGTTCCAGCCGGTACTAGCCTTCAGAGCTCCCATCATACTAGCAGGGGTACCATACAGCCAACCATCCTCGCAAAGAAGCAAGAATGACGGCGGAGCACCCCTACTGGACACTGATAAGAACAGATACTACACTTGATCTTAGCCAAAAGTAAATCCAAATGTTACATATCATGAATAAGATTGCCCCTTTGTTGTCAGGGGGGCTGGTGAATAGGTGGAGGCTAGTTAATAGACCAGTGCGTCTCCATGGTTCACATGGCTTTGGTGTGCTTAACTGGCCATCGGGAGTCAAGAGGTCTGGGTGTGATGGCTGATAGATCACGTATACTTGCAAGAAGTGCCATGACACCAAATAGTAAGGACAGATTTTCATCATGGATAGTCATCACATCAAAAGGGGCTTGAGTTCCATTCAATCACTTTCATTAGAAAGATAGATTGTGCTGTTTGGACCAGATCAGAGATTTCTCAATGATAGTGAATGGAAGGAACTAGTGAAAGAATAGAAGAGAGACCTGATTGGAAGGACTTGAGGTGTGGGGAGAGGTGATGGAGAAACTCCTTGGGGGACAATTGGATGTCAGGAACAATGAGGGGCCTAAGAAATCAGCTATTGTTCAATCCCCTCGGTAGTAATGCAATAGATATGCTTGTGAACTAGTAATCTATTCAGTTGATGATTGTTTGAATATTGTCTTGGGTTCTATAAGTATTGGCCTATAGCAGGGGTCTTCAAACTTTCTGATCAACTGACCAGTTTACTGTCCTTCAAACTTTAGGGGAGCCGAACTGTGACCAGTGGGAACAGAAAATGTCCTGGCTTCAGTGAGAATAAGCAATGTCCCCTCATTGGCACAGTGTTGTGAAAAAGTATTTATCCCCTTTCTGATTAAATTTTTTTTTTGCACATTTGTCACTCTTAAATGATTCAGATCATCTAACAAATTTTAATACTACAAAAAGATAACCGTTGTAAATACAAAATACTTTTTTTAATGATTCAATGATTTAATAAATTCATTTATTAAAGGAAAAAAAAGCTGTCCAAACCTGCCTGGCTCCATGTGAAAAAGTAATTGCCCCTAAACCTAATAACTGGTTGTGCCACCCTTGGCGGCAACAGCTGCAATCAAGTGTTTGCGATAACTGGTAATGAGTCTTTCACATCGCTCTGGAGGAATTTTTGTCCACTCTTCTTTGCAAAATTGTTTTAATTCAGCCACATTGGAGGGTTTTCGAGCATGAATGACCTGTTTAGGCTCATGCCATAGCATCTCAACTGGATTAAAGTCCAGACTTTGTCTAGGCCACTCCAAACCCTTAATGTTATTTTTTTGAGCCATTCAGAGGTGGACTTGCTGGTGTGTTTCGGATCATTGTCCTGCTGCATAACCCAAGTGCACTTTAAGGTCACAAACTGATAGCCGGATATTCTCCTTCAGAAATTTCTGGTAGATCCCCACCCCAGCCGATCACACTACCACCACCATGTTTGGCTGTTGGTATAATGTTCCTTTTAATAAATGCTATGTTAGTTTTACTCCAGATGTAATGGGACACACACCTTTCCAAAAGTTCAACTTTTATCTCATCAATCCACAGAATATTTGCCCAAAGGTTTTGGGATTAATCAAGATGTTTTTTGGCAAATGTGAGACAAGCCTTTGTATTCTTTCTGGTCAGCAGTGGCTTTTGACTTAGAACTCTTCCATGGAGGCCATTTCTGCTCAGTCTTTTTCTTATTATTGAATCATGAACAATGAAGTGAGGCCTGGAGTTCTTTAGATGTTGTTCTGGTTTTTTTTTTATGATCTCCTACGAGTCGTCGTGCTCTTGGAGTAATTTTGGCAGGCTGTCCACTCCTAGAAAGGTTCTCCACCATTCCAAGTTTTCTCCATTTGTAGATAATGGCTCTCACCGTGGTTTGTTGGAGTTCCAAAGCCTTATAAATGTTTTTGTATCCCTTTCCAGACTGATACATGCCAACTAGTATGTTTCTCATCTATTCTTGAATTTTTTTAGGTCGCAGCATGATGTGTTGCTTTTTTAGATCTTTTAGCTGCTTCACCTTATCAGACAGCTTCTATTTAGACAATTTCTTGATTTAACAGTTCTGGCAGTAATCAGTCCTGGTTTTGGCATGAGGAATTTAGCTCAGCTTTCTGAAAAATGTGGTTAGTCACAGTTCATTCATGATTTAGGAGGATATGGAGGGGGGGGGGAAGGTATGGCAATTACTTTTTCACATAGGGCCAGGCAGGTTTGGTTCCCCTGAAAAAGGAAATAATCATTTTCTGATTACTCGGATTATCTTTGTGTGATATTAAAATTTGATGATCTGAATCATTTAAGTGCCAGAAAAAAAAAAAATCAGGAAGGGGGCAATTACTTTTTCAATTTCGTGTATTAGTGCCCCATTGTTGATGACAGTAGGAGGAATAGTGCCTAGCCATTGGTGTCAGTTGAAGGCATAGTGCCCCATCATTGGTCTCAGTGGAAGGAATAGTGCCACACCATTGAGATTAGTTGGAGGCATAGTGCCCTATCATTGCTGTCAGTGGAAGGAATAGCGCCCCGTCATTGGTGTCACTGGAAGGAATAGCGCCCCGCATTGGTGTCAATGGGAGGAATAGTGCCCCGTAATTGGTGTCAATGGGAGGAATAGTGCCCTGTCTCTGGTGTCAGTGGATGGAATAGTTCCCCAAGGACCAGATTAAGGCAAGCGAAAGGCCACATTCTACTCCCGGGCCGCAGTTTGGAGAGTACTGGTCTTTTGGGTTAACTATCCACTCTAATGTTCAAATTTGGAGTGGATAACAGGCATTGACCAAGGCTTGTTAGTACCTTTTGCTATATAACATACATTTTGATGTGCTGCCACTGACTTCTATGGGCCTCCCAAACCATTAAACTCAGAAGAATATGGATGTGTGTGTTTTTTTTTTTTTTTTTTAAACGCTCTGCAGTGCCAAAAAAGGAACCAGCACTATTTTAATTATGAGGAAGTTGAACACACTTGTTTTAGTACATTGCAATGCGTGCTTAAAAACAGCATTCTAAATGAGCCCTAAATGGTCCAGAATCAGGCCTGCTTAAAAAAAAAAGAGCTCATGTGAGTAAAAGGGTGTTTTGGGCCTTAATGTGAAAAACCTTCTACTTGAACCTATGCTTGGGGGTCTGTAAAGTTCAGGTGATTTCCTGATGTTCTCAACTCGCTAATGCCTCCACCAAAAAAGCCCTTGGGATTACAAGTGAGGTGCACGTTTTAGAATGACCTTGTTCCCTGGTCTCACCTACTCAATATTGCAAATTAATGCTGGTCAAGTCTTGTAATCGCACTGCCTGCCAAATGCAATAGCATGGATCATTTTTGCTGGGGCATATTCACACCCCCGCCTGCTGCTCAACTGTGCATTTTACTGCCTTCAAACCACAAGTGTAAACAAGACCTTATAGACTTTTCCACAAAAGTGGAACCTATTATTGTTCATAGACTGCTGTCTACAGTTTAATGAAAGGGAAGAAAATAAGGGAGCGGCTAGTTCTAACTTGGTTAGGTTCTGGTTCCCGATACTGACTTTACTACCTGGAGAACCAGTGAACTGGCTTGCAGGGCAGGGACTCAACACTCTGCTGTCTACATTGCTTGCTTCAGATTAGTGTCTCCTATCAACATCTACATATTTTGTTTTTCATAACAAATATACCTTACCCACTTCAATACCAGGCCCTTTTCACCCCCTGCCTGCCCAGGACCATTTTCAGCTTTCAGCGCGGTCTCACTTTGAGTTACAATTGTGCAGTTACTGCAACACTGTACCCATATGAAATTTTTTTTTTTTTTTTTTTACACAAATAGAGTTTTTTTTTGATGGTATTTAATCACCACTGGCTTTTTTTTGTTTTTTTGCTAAACAAACCAACAATAATTATAATTTTTTTGGGGACAAATAGAGCTTTTTTTTTGGTGGTATTTAACCAAAAAAAGACCAAAAATGTTGAAAAGTAAAAAAGCACATTTTCTTATAAAATTTTTCAAATAAGTAATTTTTCTTCTTTTTCTGATGTGTGCTGATGAGGCTGCACTGATAATCAGTACTCTGATTATGAGTGTAAACCAGGGCTTGAAATTTCCACTCGCCTGCTCACCAATGGCAAGTGGAAATTATGGTGGGGGCGAGTGTGTCCCCCAAGGCCGTCTTGCTGAGCAGGCTCGGAGCTCAGGCCGGATCTGTCATTGGCACTGAGAGCCATCAGACTGCTCAATAGCTGAGCGCAGTGAAAGCAAAGCAAGGAGTGTGTGCTGTGCTCTCTGCCTCCCCCTAGAGTGCAGTACCTGGATCTGTGAGTGAACAACGAAGTACTGCAACTTTTTATGGGAGGGGGGGGGGGCGTGTGTGTGTTTGTCTGCGTATGCATGTACATGTGTGTGTGTATGTACGTGTGTATCTGTACATGTGTCTGCGTGTATGTACATGTCTGTGTGTGTGTATTTCTGTGTATGTACATGTATCTGTATGTATGCGTGTCTGTATGTGTGTACACATTTCTGTGTGTGTATGTGTGTGTGTGTGTACAGGTGTCTCCGCTTGTGTGTGTTTGTTGGTGTCGAGTAACTCTAAGGCCTGGCTAGTAGCTCCGGACTTGAAATTTTAAGCCCTGGTAAACAATGTACTCATTGTGCCGTCAGACTTGCCAGTTATCAGCTCTGCTTTCCTCACACAGACAGCATTTGAGGAAAGAAATACAGATAACCGGCAAGTCCGTTAACATGTGACCAGCTGTGACTGGATACAGCTGATCACATGATAAAGGGCCACTGTGATTGGCTCTTAACCATGATCTGTGATCAGCTGTATCCAAAAGGAGACAGTGATTACATAGCGTGCCTCAGGGGGTTCTTGGGAGGCTCTTAAGTGGGAGAACATCCTCTCAGAATTGGAGAGCCGTCTTTCATCTATAGCGTGGTAGGGAAGTAGTTAAAGATCCAGGATCCACAACCATTATGTTGAGCCTTGGCTTACTACATACATAGTAGGGTATGACACAGAACAAGGATGGAGTCTGAAGTCATGCCTGCATACTTGACTCTCTAGGTACACAACAGGGGGCACTGGATTCAGATTTTCTAAGGATCACTCAAATAGCCACTGGGCACACAGACTCTGGTTCAGCAGCACTCCACAAAACAGGGACAGGGAAAGGGGTCAGAATTGAGAATCCACAAATAAAAAAATACAATAAGAGCACCAAACAAATGTAAAAAAAGTCCAAGGTAATGTAATCAAAAAACTGATTCATAGAATAAAATGCATTTCAAGGGTTAAATACACTCCCCCTTCATCAGGAGTACAAAACAAATACAAAGGTCATGAATCTGAAAAGGTCATAAACAGTCATATACCCTTTGACAAACACGCACACATATATGTGTATATATAGAATTAAAAAAATATATATTTTATTTATTTTAATTCTTTTTTTTTTTTACTCATATATTTGTTTTTATATTTATGACCCCGGAAATGCCTTCGATTTACTGTGTTAAGAATTAATAAAAATTACCCTGGACTCTTGTAGGTCTGTTTGGCATTCTCAATGGAATGTAGGTCACTAGGAGTAGAAGGCAAGTTCAAAGATGAGCAACCTGGATCTAGCATCTGTAAAAATGAAAAAGGACAATGACTCAGAACGGTTTTTAAACCTTAAATTTATTAACGCCCCCCAAAAATAAAGAAGAGATAGTATTATACAAGCGCAGGATATATGATACCAAAACTCATCTGGAAAGTCCCCTTACTAAACTAAGGCCAGCCATACATGGGTCGAAATTCGGCCGATTTTTCGTCTGAAAATCCGACCTAAGAAAAATCGGCCAATTTTCACTCTGTTAGTGGGTCAATGGCACCGGCCGATTTTCATGGTTCGTCCCCTTTTCGGTAATCAGGCATGTTGGAAAATTCGTGAAAAACAACCGATTTTCGACTCAATGATGGTCAAATCATACGATCGTTTTTCCAAAAAGAACATGCACATGAGCCGTGACCTGGAAGAAACAGAAGTTTTGCCTGTTATATGGGGTGAACTTTATGACTTGGTCGGCCGACTATCAAAATCATTGATGGCACCATCGGATTACCGAGTGAACAACGTTTTCAACTTTCGGACTAAAAATCGTTCAGAATTCGAACCATGTATGGCCTGCATAAATAACCTTACAGTTTACCTAATCTCAGGAACAATGTCAATGTAAACTTTTGCAGTTTTTTGGTCCTTAGACATGTTGGCTGCATTTGTTTCCTTCTTTCAAGAACATTTTCTGCAAGTACAAACAAACGAAAAAAAAAAACCCTGTTGATCCTGACAGAAATATAGAGGGGAATTTACTAAAACTGCAGCGTGCAAAATCTGCTGAAGCTCTGCATAGAAACCAATCAGCTTCCGGGTTTTATTGTCAAAGATTAACTGAACAAGCTGAAGTTAGAATATGGTGAAGCTGTGCATGGTAGCCAATAAGCTTCTGAGTACACCAGGTTTAGTAAATCTCCCCCGTAGTGTCCATCTAACTGCCTGTGTGCTGAACTGAAATCTCAAGCGATCTTATGTATGGCAGGGGTTGGGGAAATCTAACCCTCTGTGCAGGCACACCACTTGTACATAGGGTCACCAGACATTCTCATGTAATGGAGATGAACAGAAGACATGTTAGAACAGCCTAAGACCCTGATTCTCCATAGACAGCAGTGAGTGAGCGTTGCCACCCTAGACAGGATATGTATTACTGGCAGCATCACCAGGTAAAAATAAAGAAAAGCCTGGAAAATGAAAACTAATGCAGCCGTCACATCTAAGGACCGGTACGATGTAATATATTATCTCCTGTTTTTGGGTTTAGATAAGCTTTATAATTCAAAACACCTCTGCCACGCTGTACAGCCAGGAAGGAGAAACTGCAGCTTCATGCCCCGGCTTTGCAACTTGCTCACTGGATGAAACGTGTTGATATAGATCCACTACACATTGAGAAAGCAACTGACACAAGGAGCTACAAAACAGCAGCAGTAGCATCTCAAATACAGGCATACATATGGCAGGAGTCTTTGAATCCTAACACTGGCTGAACAGAATTACAGATCACATTTTTGTTTTTGCACTCTGTATTTAGCAATCTACCTGGAGTCCTCCTTTGGGCGTAGCCTGTGCGAGGTGGGAAGTGTAGCTGGCATGCTGGCTGGGTTGTTAGTACTCTGCCAAATAGTTTGCTCCTCCTCGGCATCCATCAGCTCCACTGAGCGCCCAAGTGAATTCAGCTTTTTGGTTTAACCCCCTTGCCCTCCTGAGGATTCCCCCCCCCCCCCTTCCTGACCAGGCCATTTTTTGCGATACGGCGCTGCGTTATTTGCAACGTTGCACCCAAATTAAATTTACGTCCTTTTTCCCACAAATAGAGCTTTCTTTTGGTGGTATTTGATCGCCTGCATGTTTATTTTTTGTGCTATATTAAAAAAAAAAAAAAAAAAAACCCAACAATTTTGAGAAAAAAAAAAAAAACAGTATTTTTGACTTTTTGCTATTAAACATGTCCTGTAAAAAAAAAAAAAATCTATTTCGTCATAAATTTAGGCCAAAATGTATTCTGCTCCATGTATTTGCTAAAAAAAAAAATCCCAATACGTGTAAATTAATTGGTTAGCATTTACAAATGGTGGTATATATACTGGAATTTTTAATTTTTTTTTTACTAGTAATGGCGGTGATCAGCGACTTATAGCGGGACTGCGGCGGGCATTCTGACACTAGAGGGAACTGACTTTGTGTCACTGACATCCCCAGTGACACCAATACAGTGATCACTGCTAATTATTATTATTATACAGGACTTATATAGCGCCGACAGGTTGCTCAGCGCTTTACATTATGGAGGGAGACAGTACGGTAACCATACAGTTCAATACAAGAGGGATTGGAGGGCCCTGCTCCTTGGAGCTTACAATCTAGGAGATAAAAAGAACTGACACTGTACTAACGGCACTGGGCAGGAAAGGGTTAACATGTGGGGCGATCAATGGGTTTACTGTGTGTGCTTTCACTATGTGGGCTGTGCATGTGCTTTCCACTGTAAGCACACTGCTTTATATGGCTCTATGCAAAGCCATACAAAGTAGTGTGCAGGAGCTGACAGGGGAAAGATCTGTGTTGTTCATACACCGGTCTCTCCCCCCCGTCGGTAATACTCGGCGATCACCGGGTGCCAGCAAGGAAACAGCAGCCGGGACCTGGTGATTGACAGTCCAGGCTGCGAATGGCGGCGCAGGTAGGATATGCACGCACCCCTACCCAGAACTGAAAAATCAGGTGATTTTGCACACCCATGCTGCCCTGTAGCAGTATATCTGCTATAGGGCGGAGCGTAAGCGGTTAATATGTATCTAAACTCCAAAACATAAGAGGTATAAAGATATGTTGCAGCTTGCAAGTCCTTAGATGTGGTGGCTGCATTAGTTTTCATTTTGTTAATTTTACTTGGTGTCCCTGCCAATAACACACTTCCTGTCACAGGGTGACAACACTGACTGGCTGCACTGTACCTGTGAAGCTGTGTTGTCACCCTAGTAAGGGACTACATAGCATCTATTCCTTTTCTCCTCTCCATTACATAGATGGAGGTGTTTTGCAGCCAACAGAAAACAATGTAACTGATCAAGAGTATGGCACTAGTAGTTATCAGCTAACAAGTTGTCTGGCAGGATCAACAGGGTTGTTTTGTTTTTTTTTTAACTTTTGAACAGATATAAAAAAAATAAAAGCTTTCAATGGTATATTTAACAGACCAAAAGAGAACAAGTAAGAGCAGTTTATTGTTAGGGCTTACATACCCTTTAATACATGAGTGCTTGGTGGAGTTAGGACCATGCCCCCAGCACCCTGTATACACAGTGGAAAATTACAACCAGCACAACAACACCTGGAATGCCGGAGATAAAAATTAACTTTTACCACCGATATGGCAGGAAGATCACATTCTGTACCTTTATTATGTAAGTTAACAGTTACATTCATTAGAAAGGCTTTCAAATAATGCAAACCAGAAATAGAAAAGAAACAGGGGAGAGGGGTGCCAACAACCTGGAAAACAGTATAAAAGAAACAAAGAATCAAGCATCCCATTGGCTGAACACATGTGAAACACACACGGTGTGGTCTGTACAGTATTACGTTTTGGTGGTTCCCCATTGATCAGTGTATGAATCCTTCCTGCCCCAACAGAAGAATGAGGAGAAATGACCGCGGTAAATATGTTGTAGAATTTATATGAAGGTTGTAACTGTGAATCGAGAAAACTGGAGTGAGAAAAAAAGCCAGCAATAGAGCAGCTTAGTAATTGGACTAAATTGAGTACAATGGATGATGCGGAGAAGTCACACGATACTGTGCGTAGACTGCCATGGAAATGGCAAAATATCCAGATGGAGCCTGCTCAGGGAGAACACCTTGACAGCCAGAGCAATGTTTTCACTCCTCCTTCTTATCCTTTGGTGCTTCTTTCTGAGCCTGTGTGGAAAAAAAAAGATAAAATG